GCGCTTCGTGATTTTTAACTTGACAGGTGCTATATAAAATCTTTCTTTCTTTCTTTCTTTCTTTCTTTCTTTCTTTCTTTCTTTCTTTCTTTCTTTCTTTCTTTCTTTCTTTCTTTCTTTCTTTCTTTCTTTCTTTCTTTCTTTCTTTCTTTCTTTCTTTCTTTCTTTCTTTCTTTCTTTCTTTCTTTCTTTCTTTCTTTCTTTCTTTCTTTCTTTCTTTCTTTCTTTCTTTCTTTCTTTCTTTCTTTCTTTCTTTCTTTCTTTCTTTCTTTCTTTCTTTCTTTCTTTCTTTCTTTCTTTCTTTCTTTCTTTCTTTCTTTCTTTCTTTCTTTCTTTCTTTCTTTCTTTCTTTCTTTCTTTCTTTCTTTCGTGCTGTGTTGGTAAATGACATCCAGTGTGTGCTTTCGTATAGATTCATGTGGTTGCTCAGCTGATGAGGCCATTTTTCATCTGAAACAAATTACCAAAACAACTTTTCCCAAGAGAGATTTGAGAGGGCTGCTGGTTCTGTTTGTGTGGGATGTTAGAGGGTGAGTGAAATGTTTGGACACAAAGGTTTTGGGTGTAGAAGGTGGCTGGACATCCTGTCCTCTCCTCAGCTCTTTGGTTTGTGCCACAGCGCAGCAGATTTGTTTGGTCAGCCATTTGATTTACGATTCAGGGTTTTTAATATGCTGCTTCTTAATCTCTTTTCAAAACCAACACCACAAAATTACACCAGAGAGCAAAATACGGACCTGAAATAGTGACTACTACACCTGTGTCAGCACTGCAGATGACATCATCCATCGGTACATGCTGGGCTTGTAATTCTGAAGGAAGTTTTTAAGCTCTGGCTGAAGTGTTTTGATATTTCAACAGCCATAATAGATATAAATTTGATATATATTTTTTGCATTCACAGTCCGAAATTCTGCATGGAAACATGGTTTCGAATCAAAAAGGCTCCTCAGACATCTTTTTTTGCTCATAAGATAGTGAGTTACTGTTTGTTGCATGTTAATTAATTGCCCAGTTTAGTTTGGGCACGAAGCTACAACAGTACACTCATACGTACTGCCTCACTCCCAGGAGACACGCACTGGTAAAAGCATTAAACTAAAAAAAATCCTGCTTGCTTATGTGCAGGTGGGCTTATGCATTATTCATTTTTATGAGATTTACAGCCATTTATCCACACACACACACACACACACACACACACACACGCACGCACGTTTGTTCCTGTAAATGCTAGAAAGTCTTCTCACACACATCTGCTACTGGGCTTACTCCTCTAAACTGGTTCACTCTCTTTCACACAAATTCCTTGTAAGCTTGGTGGTCATTATGCTACCCCCTGTTGAAGCTAACAGCTGTGACAGTGTGTGTGTATCTGGCTAGGGGTCCCCCTCCCTTTTGGTATTTATTAGTTTTGAACAGCTGAGGTGCTCTGTAAGATCTCTATTTAGCACTTCCAGCTAATTATCGTGGACACATCCAAAGGGCCGTGCAGAACGTGAGCCATTGGCGCTGGACCGTACACGTCATCCACACTTTACCACCTCTCATACCAAACCTTGCCGAGGTGACTCGCAGACTCAAATTGGTCCCTGCTGCCCTTTTAACACTTGGACTACCACATAATCTTTTGGGCTGAGCTTCTTTTGTCTCTTGAGGAACAAATTCATGGAGAATTTGTTTTTTACTTTCACATGCATGCAGAACTTGAAAATGGTCTTTTACCCCTGTTTACTGCATTAGCTGCCGATAGAAAATAGATGGGGAAACTCTCGGAGTAGAAAAGCCACACAGATCAAAGTCAAACTGAAAAGAAGGGCTACACAATATTAGGAAAACCTGTGATATGTGATTACAGCGATTAATATTGTGATGACGATATTACTTGCAATAAATGCAAACTTAACTCAGGAACAAAAATAATCAAAAACAAAAAAAAAAGACAAAAATATCATAAAAATGAGAAAGCAAAACATGTGAGGAAAGGGAAAAAGAAAATGAACAAGAAAAGGCAATCAGTGGATCCCGGGAAAAGCAGAATCAGCAGAAAGAACAGAACAAAGCTAACTCAGGTGTTTGCATTATCGAAATTAAGTGCCATCCACCTCAGGGTCGGGCATCTAACCTATGAGAACCCACCCAATTGGCCAAATGAGTGAGGAGCTCTATTTGATTTGTTAAAAAACATCATGCTTCCATTTTATTGGCAGAATGCATTATGTGTAGCAAATATTTGAGATGACCATTCATTGCGATATTTATCTGTTCTTTGCGATATGCACATTGTGCATGCTGATATTGCAATAACGATTTAGTTGTGATATATTGTGTAGCCCTACTGAAACTTAACATTCGTGGACTCCCCCATTTTGGTGCACAACCAAGGAATGTTGTTGATTTAGCATCCAGGAGAGAGCAGAGCCCATCATGGCTAGTAAAAGCTAACATTAGCATTAGTAACTCCACAGAGCAAACAGAAAAGTCGTGTTGCTGTTAGCCAATCAGACGCAAGATGTTCAAATATCATGAATAAAAAGTCAGACTCAAAATGCTGCCGTTTTCTGCTCCAGCTAACTTCCTCTTACTGAAACAAGAGCGCCAGAGGTTTCTTTTCCACAGGAAACCACTCACAAGACCCCCATGTGGCATGCACCAGCAGATTTATTGAAAAAAAGGAATGAATAAGAGCTTTAAACTGAAGAGCTCACAATGAGAATTCAATCTTAAAGCCTGATTTCTTCAAACTATGATCATAGCAACATTGGTGACAGAAAATACAGAAATATTTAAGTTTATCTGGATTTTTGTCTGTCCTTTTATTGTTTTATTGCAAATCCTTTTTCTTAGTGGCCACAGAACATACACTGATGTGCTGATGTAAAGAGCAGTTTCTCTATATTCTTCTCTGGAATTACCTTACACATTCAGTCCTGCTGACAGATCCCTTCTCAATATTAGTTTCACACTAAAAGGCACCCTTGTTCTCTACTTTCCATCTGTTGCATGTTGCAAGCATCCCTAAACCATTTTGTCCTTTAAGGTTTAAGGCAAAAACTCTGATAACTTCACATTGCTGCACCTTTCCTGGTGGAAATAAGCTTATTTTCTTTTGTTTTTCCAATTTGAGAAAAACTCATTTACGATGCATGAATTATTTCTGAGATTTTTATTTTACAGGAAGTGCAGAATTATTAGGCAAATGAGTATTTTGTCCACATCATCCTCTTCATGCATATTGTCTTACTCTAAGCTGTATAGGCTCGAAAGCATACTACCAATTAAGCATATTAGGTGATGTGCATCTCTGTAATGAGAAGGGGTGTGGTCTAATGACATCAACACCTATATCAGGTGTGCATAATTATTAGGCAACTTCCTTTCCTTTGGCAAAATGGGTAAAAAGAAGGACTTGACAGGCTCAGAAAAGTCAAAAATAGTGAGATATCTTGCAGAGGGATGCAGCAGTCTTAAAATTGCAAAGCTTCTGAAGCGTGATCATCGAACAATCAAGCGTTTCATTCAAAACAGTAACAGGGTCGCAAGAAGCGTGTGGACAAACCAAGGCACAAAATAACTGCCCATGAACTGAGAAAAGTCAAGCGTGCAGCTGCCAAGATGCCACTTGCCACCAGTTTGGCCATATTTCAGAGCTGCAACATCACTGGAGTGCCAAAAAGCACAAGGTGTGCAATACTCAGAGACATGGCCAAGGTAAGAAAGGCTGAAAGACGACCACGACTGAACAAGACACACAAGCTGAAACGTCAAGACTGGGCCAAGAAATATCTCAAGACTGATTTTTCTAAGGTTTTATGGACTGATGAAATGAGAGTGAGTCTTGATGGGCCAGATGGATGGGCCCGTGGCTGGATTGGTAAAGGGCAGAGAGCTCCAGTCCAACTCAGACACCAGCAAGGTGGAGGTGGAGTACTGGTTTGGGCTGGTATCATCAAAGATGAGCTTGTGGGGCCTTTTCGGGTTGAGGATGGAGTCAAGCTCAACTCCCAGTCCTACTGCCAGTTTCTGGAAGACACCTTCTTCAAGCAGTGGTACAGGAAGAAGTCTGCATCCTTCAAGAAAAACATGATTCTCATGCAGGACAATGCTCCATCACACGCGTCCAAGTATTCCACTGCGTGGCTGGCAAGAAAGGGTATAAAAGAAGAAAAACTGATGACATGGCCTCCTTGATCGCCTGATCTGAACCCCATTGAGAACCCGTGGTCCATCATCAAATGTGAGATTTACAAGGAGGGAAAACAGTACACCTCTCTGAACAGTGTCTGGGAGGCTGTGGTTGCTGCTGCACGCAATGTTGATGGTGAACAAATCAAAACACTGACAGAATCCATGGATGGCAGGCTTTTGAGTGTCCTTGCAAAGAAAGGTGGCTATATTGGTCGCTGATTTGTTTTTGTATTGTTTTTGAATGTCAGAAATGTATATTTGTGAATGTGGAGATGTTATACTGGTTTCACTGGTAAAAATAAATAATTGAAATGGGTATATATTTGTTTTTTGTTAAGTTGCCTAACAATTATGCACAGTAGTCACCTGCACACACAGATATCCCCCTAAAATAGCTAAAACTAAAAACTACTTCCAAAAACATTCAGCTTTGATATTAATGAGTTGTTTGGGTTCATTGAGAACATGGTTGTTGTTCAATAATGAAATTATTCCTCAAAAATACAACTTGCCTAATAATTCTGCACACTCTGTATTTGTAACACTTAATGATGCTCTGTTTCTAGCTTTCTACTCACACAGAAGTGGAGTAAACAGACTTTTTATAATAAGCACGAATCAGGCTTTTTTGTTTATTTTCTCCTTAAACAGTTGTTCTTAGTTTAGTTTGGTCTGTTATTAAAATCCCACATACCCCCCCCCCCCCCCCCAACCCATACCCCCCCAATTGTGAGTAGTTTAACTTTGCAGAATTTTGCCGGGTTTGTTTAGTTTTCCTCTCTTCGTTCTGACCTTGTTCTTGTCTCTTCCAGGGCCCAGGCTGTCAGGGGAGCAGTAGGTCCGAGGAGCTCCAATGCCCGTGGACATGCAGCCACATCAGGGGCTGTATTACTATGAAAACTCTCCCAGTCAGCCTTCCAGAGGGTATGTTCACAGCTCACACGTGTTCCTTAATGTGAAATAAGCCCAACAGACAACACAGACCAATGTTTACCACTAACACCATACAAGTTGATTCATTCGTAGAGCAAATATCAGCTCACTTGCATGTTTTTGAGGCGTCTGAAAACTTTGACCTGCTGAACAGGGGAATTATTAATTGAATCAGGTGCATTATTGCAGGAAAATGGCTAAAACTTGCTGGATTGTGTCCGTCGAGGAGCATTAGAATACCCCTACACTAAAGCATGATTCAAAGAAACCACACAAAGTGACCCACGCCGCTGTCTTAATTATTCCAGACCTGTATGTTGCACTTTAATACTGCTGTTAAGTTACATCAAAAGTAAGAAAGAAAGCTAGGAGTGGGGTCACAGGGGCATTGGCGTCTTCTGAAATCTGATTGGCTCCCTGAAGTGCCCCTGTCCTTTCACTCATCTGTCCTTTGCTCATTGATCAGATTATTGGTGGATCAATTCCAAGTCTAAACACTAGTGGTGCAAATGACCCATACAGGAATTTCCAGAGTAAAATATTGTGTTGGTAAATGGCCTGTATGTGTTTAGCGCCTTCTTGGGGTTCTACAACCCCCCAAGGCGCTTCACAACACAATCAGTCATTCACCTATTCACACGCTGGTAGAGGTGAGCTACGATGTAGCCACAGCTGCCCAGTGCGCCCCACTAACTAAAGCCTGATTTACTCACGTCTCTGTGATTATGAAGACATGCAATGTCATTATGCGTCAGCGCAAGGGCTCTTCGACAGGCTTGCAGAGGCTGATGGAGACATGCCCATCCATTGAAAGTGACTGCAAGCTTGTGATTGGTCAGGATGCCGCTTCCTTTAAATCAGTCAAAAGCACCGCAATTGCCCTGTCAAAAAAATAAAAATATTTAGCGTCAAACACAGAACAGAATGAACGCCTCATGGAAAAACTCCAAAAATCTGAATAATTATTCACCCGTGGTTGAAGGAGTACAAAGATATGCAGCAAGTGTTTTTTGAGGGGTTTTTTTTGTGGACGGAAATGACAAAAAAACGTGGGTTTAGAGGTGTTGGTCGCATGAAGAAGTGGAGGAGAATGAGGGACAAATAAGTCAGTGGTAAAAAGTCTCTGAAATATATTAAAACAATGTAAACACACTATCGTGAACTGGATACGTGACTGTATTGGTGGCAGGATACCTCAGAAAAGCTCTATGCCCTCTGTTGTCCTGCCAAGGGAAATTTATTTGTGACACCCGCCAGGCAATAGAGAAGTCTAAAGGGACAACATGTGCGTGACTCCACACTCGAGCTGACGAAGATGTATAAATCAGCCTTAAGACTTGGCCCCTCTATAAATATTGTTGCCCCTAATGGTACCACATTCAGATAAATCATAGATTCTCCACTGATTTTTTTGTTGTTGTTATGTCATGTTGCTATATGTGTGGGGGGTTGTTGATTTGGGTAGAGATGAGGTTATGACGTCATTGTTTTTACATAAAGATGCATGGGTTGCCTTGAAGATTTCCTTTGCTTTATGGTAAATTTTTTAAACGCATTGTTGAGGTTGCTAAATGCTTCCGGACGATTTCTTCACTGTGACTGCTCACTAAGATGCTAACTTCATCATGTAACACATTTGATGTGCAGAAACAGGTGGAAAATGGCATGTCAGCTGAACTTCAAAATAAAGCAATTTCCAAAATAAAAGTGCATTTTTGCATTGTACATAAAATACTGTAAATGTGTGACTGTAGACCAGGGGTATTCAATTCCAGTCCTGGAGGGCCGGTATCCAGCAGGGGTGTCAAACTCACACTGGGCCGAAATGAAAATCTGGGACAAAGTCGTGGGCCAAACTTAATATTTTTTGAAAAAGTGACGTCAAATTTGCACATTTTATTTATCAACATATATGCGATTTTGAACCTTTTAATTGGGAAACAAACATATTTCTGCATTAACACCGAATGTGAATAACCAAATTACACACAAGCAAATCAATTTTAAATAAAATGCATCAGTGGTATTCATTACTTGTGGTATATTCAGCATTTTTAAAATCTATTCAGGATTTATGTTTTCTTGTTTATTCATTTTTCTTATTTTTTATTCTCCTTTTTTTCTCCTGTAATAAGTGTCATCGCTGCTGTGACGTCTAGCTTTCCCCACTGAGGAACAATAAAGGGATTTTCTATTCTATTCATCTATCTGCAGCCTTTACACTTCCTGTTTTACTGTAGGTTAAATCTTTTCTCACATGCCAACAACAAAATAAAAATATCATTTTATCTTAAATGAAAATGCAACATCTCACCTGTTAACTTTCATGTTTTGGAGCAGAAAAAGAGCATAAAACCAACATATTTAAAGCTCAGTTTGCTCCACTGGTTTACTGTGATGCTCACCTGTTCCAGCCAGATGCCTGCATCATGGGGTTGATCTGAGCTGAGGAGGAGACTCCTGTTATTTTGTTCATCTTCATCATCATAATGACAACAGGTGCTCACACAGGTTTGTGCTGGTGAACATGGAGAGCTTCTGAGCAGCTTGACCATGTTGTTGTGTGTCGGGGAGGAAAAATAACAACTACGGCAGCCACAGAGTCATGCTGATTTCAGCGTGTCGCTGCTCGCAGGAGTTATATCAGCTCTGTCTGGAATTTAGTTGGAAAACTTTCTCTTTCAGTCGTGAACACATTACTGAGTGGTTAAAATCTCTGTTTCTGGGCTTCAACGTTGGCAAATAGCTGAGTAAACTCAGCGCTGAGTGAGAGGAGTGTTTAGTTTGTCCGAGACAGCGGAGCTGCAGACACCGGCAGCAGACAC